CGTGAATCATACTGCACTTAAAAGAGAATAAATAACTGTGACAGTTGTCCTCGCCCGCGGGCTTTATACTCACACAGACTATGAACCGCGGTGCTTGCACTCTAGCTCTACTAGCCCTATTTTCAGTAGTAGGAGCTCCCTCCGGTGAGCCTTCGCTTCCACGGGGCCATTACTCGGCTTACCCCGCTCGCCCAAAAACTTCTTCCTACCATCATCCGTTCATTTAGGCAATCGCTTTTTGGATCCAAGAAGGCGACGCCCGACTCCAAGGCTTTCGGGGGTACTTACATCACGTGCAACTGCACGAAGCCAAAGCGCTCTCGGTCAAGGAAATCGCCAAGTTTGTCGGCAGCAAGAAGGCGTGCCTCGAGGCGTTGCATGTATCGCGCGACAGCTCTGTCGTCGCGACAACGGCCGCGTCGAGTGCTTCGCTGCGCCTCGAGACGACGTATGCGCCGCTACCGGCTCGCGATGTGGTGTTTGCGCCGTCGCGCGGCGGGCCGCTTTGTGTGTCGTCGCGCCTCTTTCAGGCCTGTCCCAAGTGGCCCCACGCCTTCCACTGCGAGGCCATTGTGCGCTACACACCGCACGCACGGTTCCAAGTCGTGCTGGGATGCTTTGAACACGGCGGCCCCTCGTATCTCTTTGTGTTGGGGGTCACGCCGACGGGTCGTCTCTGCTTTCGGTCGCGTGAACGCAAGTTTGGTACTGCCCAACGCCACCTCTGCGAGAATGGCGTGCACAAGATCGGGCTCAGCTTTACGACGGACCGTGTCGTCTTTTACGTCGATGGCGTCGCCGTCGAACGCGTGGTGTCGAGCGGCGCGTCGCTCGATCCGAACGGCCTCAGCCCAACGTTGGCGTTTGTCGTCGGCGGCGCGCCGAGTGTGCTGAGCTTTGCGCCGTGGCAGGGCGACGTGCGCCTCGTGCGCGTCTTGGCGAGTCCGCCCTGTGAGAAGCAAGTGCCTCGAGACGTGTTGGCGCGCTACGCGTTCCTCGAAGGCCGTGGGACTATCGTTCACGATACGACGGGGCGTGTCCCGCTGTGGCATGGCACACTCGCCTCGGACGCTGGGTGGACGACGACGACGACGACGCAGGATGCGACAAGTCATGCCAACGAGCCGAGGATGACGACGACGACGACGCCGACGTCGCTGCCTGGCCAGATTCTCGCCGCACTCGAGCCGCGTGCGGCAGCCACGATCGCGTCGCTGCAGGTGAAGCACGCGTCCGTGGCGTTGAGTGCCGTGGACGTCATGTCGTCGGTCGTGTGGCCGCATGTGCTCACGTTTCTTTTGCTGCACTCGGTGCTGGCGCAGTGGATGCAGGAGACGGACCTTCTCGATGGTCCGCAGGTGCTCGGGCTCTTGCGCGTCTTGCGGGCCAACTTTTCGCCGCTCATGTCGCACTCGCCGACGTCACTTGGGCTACCGCCGGCCCGCGTCGGCCTTGGCATGCAAGCAGCCTCGTCCTCGTCGTCGTTTGCGGAGCGACTTCGCGACACGTTGATGCGCTGCGAGTCGATCGATTGGTTCGATGACGATATGAACGACGCGGTGCGCGCCGAGGCCATCGCGACACAAACAGCAGGCCTGGAAGTGTTTTGCCCGACGCCACTGGCCCGTGCCGAGCTGCTCTTGCGGCTCTTGAGTAGCGTCGACGTGCTGCGTCTCGACACGCTGTGCGACGCACTGAGCTCGAAGCCGCATTTGCTGGCGCAATGGATGCCGGCCAGTGACGCGCCATCGTCGTCGTCGTCGCTCTTCCCGTGGCCGCTCGATGCCGTCAAGCGCAGTCTTCTCGACACGAGCGACGATGACAACAACGACGTGCCGCGTATCAAGAAGGCCGAAGTCATTAGCGTGCTCCAGAAACTCCCGCGCATGCCATCGCTGGATGCGACGTCGCCCGCCGAACAACTCGTTGTCTTGTACGAAGAGTGGCAGCGCTTTTACGTGGCGAGCACGTCTATCGTGCCCATCGAGACGACAAAAACGCTCTTGAAAGCGCTCTTGAGCGCGTCGACGCATGGGACGGCGTCGGCGCGAACGCTCTTGGTGGCGCTTCAAGACCGTCTTTTGTCCGACGTGCGGCGGCACTGGACGCCGTGCACAGTGTCGCGCCTGCTGCAGTGGCACGAAGACACGCGCTTCTTCAAGGTTGTCAACTGCCCCATTGGTGTGCGCGAGACGCCCAACGTCAAGGCGCCCAAGACGGGCCGCACGCTCAGCATTGGCCAAATCATCGAGACCAAGAACGTGCTCCAGTACCAAAACGACGCTGTCCAGTATGTCGAGCTGCTCACGGGTGGCTGGGTCTTTGACGTCGACCCGACCGATGGGATGCTGCTTCTCGACGAACATGCGGCCAACAATGCGCAGCCGACACGACGCGCGTACTCGCTCACGGCGCTACTCGACGGCCAGGCCAAGGCGACTGCATCGCCGCTGGGTGGGCACATGCGATTTGAAGTCCCGTCCGACGAGGGGCTCGACGTGTCGGCCGATGGCTTGAGCGTCACCAACACGACGGGCGGCGCGTGGCGGACGGCGTTGGGTTCCAAAACGTTTACACGAGGTACGGCGTAGCTCGGATGCGGAAGCATCACAAATGGAATAGGGTCTGGCGTGCACACGTGGCAAGTGACGATATTCCGGGTCCAGAACATTGGCCAACTCTTTCTCGGGATTGCCTCGACTGCACCATCCACGGTGCGGTCGTACGTCGGCAGTGACCCCGGTAGCTACGGCTGGCAGCTTACAGGCGACTGGTACCATGCGGGTGTTCGCACCAAGGCGTCGCATCTACCGCTCCTTGGCCCGGCGCCGATCGTACTCGACGTGAAGCTCGACACGACGATGGGGACACTTCTCGTGGTCAATACCACGTCGAACGCGCCCGTGGGACCTGCGCTCGTGCTCGACTTGGTCGCAGGGGAGGCCTACGCGCCCGCGATCTCGCTCTGCAACGCCCACGACGCCATTGCCTTCTCGACCTCGGCGGTGGCTCTTGGTGGGGATGCGATCACTGTGGACGGACGAACGAATGCCCCGCCAAACCTCGAGCCGACGCCGCTGGCAGCCTTTTACGCCAAGACGCTGCTTGCAGCGTGCAAGTCGGCGGCAGCTCGGCAAGAACTGTCCTCGCTCTTGACACCGGTCGTCGCGTCCATGCTGTGCTGGTCCAACGTCGACGACGAGCCGTTTGTACTCGACACGATCGACGAGATTTTGCTGCAAGAGACTTGCAGTATGTCGCCGGACGAGTCGGACGCACGTCTCTTGCTCGGAGGGCTTGGCGGCCACTTGTACGGGCAGCGCATTGGCGCCTCGCCCGAGACGCACATTGACGAGGCCGACGCGCGTTGGCTTCGGTCCCCGCTCTTCCAAGCTGGCTTGTCCTCGAGCAAACCGTCGACGTCGGCGTTCTACAAGCAGCTCTTCGACGGCCTCCACCCATCTTTTGACAAGTGGGTGCTCAAGTTTGCCAACGCGAGCCCGCTCGTCGTGCGCATGGGCGGCGCGAGCCTGGAAAAGGCCATCCGCGCCGTGCTTGGGTGTATGCTGTACCACTGCGGCATGAGCTCGTATGCCGAGTTTGAGGACAAGGCCAACGCGGCCAAGACATCGCCGGCGCCCAAGCCGCTCCGCTCGCTGTGGCAAAAGGCGTACGAGCTCAAGGCGTATGCCCTCCGGCTGAAAAACTCGCACGGGCTGTCGTACGACGAGATTGCGGCAACGCTTTTGGCCAAAGTGGACTTTCTCTTGCATTTGAGCCCGACGAAAGCCGACGATGGCCTTGGCGTCTACTACCACGAACTGCCGACGCTGGTGCGCAAGATCTCGATGGGCAAGCGCAGCAGTTCGTTTGACGCGGATGAGACACCCGACGCCAGCCTCCGCGATGTCGACGCCGAGATCATTGCCAACATTGCGGCGTTTTGCCGCGGCGACTGCAATCTGAAAAGCTCAGCGAGCACCTGCAGAGTGCGCAGGCCATGGCGCTCCAGCGTGCGCACGGCCTTCGTCGCGTGACCAAGCTCGTCTCAGCGCTGCGGCTTCCGTGCAAAGCCGCAATTTTGTTGCAAGTGGTCGCTGCGATCCGCGCCTCGGACGTGTGGCACTACTCGTCCGGCATCTCGGGCTGTCCCCATGCGCTCCAGCACGACGTTCGGTGCGCGTTTGAAGGCTACTACAATGTCCTCGTGCGACACCTCTCGGTCGCGACGACGCAGCCGACGAGCTGGCAACTGCTGTTGCTCGACGCCCTCGGTGTGCGCATTTTGCCAGACGACCACGCACTCGTCGCGGCCGGCCGCGTCTTCCACGTGCTTCAAGAGATCCTCGATGTGGGCCGCGCCGACGTCCGCCAAGCGACGATGAAGGTCGTGTATCTCCTCGCCGTCCAAGTCGCAAGCGAAGGCGATGGCAACCAAAACCCGGCACTGGCCCCGTCGCATGTTTTGACGCCGCCGCACTTTACGCGCCAGCTCTCGGGACCGCAAACGCTAAGCTCGGCCGTGTTTGAGATGCTCTACAACGAGCTCTCGCTCGTCGTCCATCGTCTCCTCGAGTCGCACAAGACGTCGCGCACGTATGCGCTCGACGTGTTGGGGGAGAACCCGAGTTTGCTGGGCATTTTGTCGCTGCTGCAGTTTGTGTCGTCGTCGCCCGCGTGCAATGCGTCGCTCGCAACGACGCCATGGCTCTCGATCTTTGTGACCATCGCCTGCTTTGGCGGCACCGAGCCACAAGTTCGGTCGATGCAACTCCTCGCGACGCTCCTCCCGGTGTGCAACCCCGTCGTCGTGACGCTCGAGCTGCCGTTTACGCTGGAAGGGCTCGTCGCGACGCCGTCGAGCGTGCGCGGTGCGACCGACCTGCTTATGTTTCTCGTGCAAGCCGTCGGTGCACCGCTGCACGCACAGCCGTCCGAGAGCCTGCCGCGCTCGAGCCGCACAGCGCTCTCGCTGGCGTCCGAGAGCGTGAGTCTGCTGCGCGTCTTGCTGGAAGAAGCGGCGTGGCATCCCCTCGTGCTCGAGGTTCTCCAGTCTATGTTTCGGTCCGACGACGTCACGGTGCAAATCGGCGTCCTTGGCGTCTTGGGGTCGTTTGTCGAACCGATTCGGTACGGTGGATACGCTACAATTCCACATCATGACGGTATGGTCATGCTGGTCGACCCGAACTGCGATTTTGGCAGCGCGACCGTGCTCTGCGACCACATATCGACGCCCGTGTCGACGGCCGAGATGACGACGGTGCCCAAGCACACGCTGTCGCTGACAATCTTACCGGATGCGTTTGTCGATGCGATCCTCGAGTCGGCGGCCAACGCTTTGCTGGCGCCGATCCCGAGCGAGACTCTCTTTCTGCACCTCCTCCACGTCGCCCACCGCATCTTTTGCGAGCATCCGACGCAGTTGTTTGACATTGTCGCCAAGAGCCCCATGCTGGCGCGCAAGGTCTTTGAGCTCGGCGGCCTTCTCTCGACGTCGAGCGGTCTCCCGAGTCTCCCTCTCGTCGAGGCCAAGTTTGAGATGCTGCAAGCGCTCCAGTACAACCACATGTATGGCAACATGCGTGACGCGCTCTACCCACTGCCGGCGTTTTCTGAGGCGCCGCCGCCCACCGACGTCGTTGTCGCCGGCGTCGCTGTGTGCAACGTGGCCTTTCACGACGGGCTGCTCTGCACGCTCAAGCAGGTGTCGACGTTTGATACACCGGTCGGCATTGGCTCGGATGCCATCCAGTGGCTCGAGGCGCTCCTCAATCACATGCTCTTCAAGACCGTCGAGAGTCTCCTGAGTGTCTGGACCACGATCGAGCGCAGTGCAGCGAGCCGGCTGGATGTGCAGACGGCCGTCGAGACCGTCTACCGCGCGATCGCGCTGCCCGAGATGCTCCAGGCGGCGTGTGCCGAAGCCAATGAGTGGCTCTCGAACCGCGATCATTGGGGCGTCGAGTGGGGCGTCCACGAGACTCGGATCGTCGACTACGTAGTGGCGCAGCTCGAGGCGGCGATGCCGGGCAAGGGCGCTGCGTGGCGGGACACGTGCAACGCGCTGCAGCTGGGTCCGTATCTCTGTGCGACGTGCGAGTGCTTGGCAGCCGACGTGCTCAGCCTCGCGATCGAGGTCTCGCGGCGGCACGACCAAGACCCGCCTTTGATTTCGCTGGCCTTTGTGCTACAGGCCATGCACGACGACGAAGAGCTGCACCGACTGCTCGAGTACCACGAAGCGTTTTTGGGCTCGGGCCCGACGCCCATGCGCCGCGACGAACGGTCGTCGGCCGACCGCGTCCTCGACGTCCGGGTGCAGTCGATGATGACCATGGGGTTTCCCGAAGCGTGGTGCAAGCGGGCGCTCGAAGAGTCCAACCACGAAGTCAACACGGCGCTTAACTGGATTCTGAGCAACGGCCACTTGCTGGATGCGCCGATGTACGAGTCGACGATGACGACGCTGGCGACACCCGAAACGCCGGGGACGCCGGGCACACCGCGCGAGCCAGCGCCCACTCTCGAGTGCGAGCCGGCCGACGACGCTGGGCCGTGCCACGTGCTGACGGACGCAGCCAACATGGACGTCTCGGGCTCCGCGTACACGGCACTGTGGGCCTTGCCCATCGTGCCGTCGACGGTCGTGACGTTCTCGGTGCAAGCGACGAGCGATGTGAGTATCGGTCTCTTTGCGTCGCTCGACCACGCCACTGTGCAGGAAGTGGTGCTGGGCGCCAAGCACAATACGCTCCTTGAAGTCTACGATGTCGTCGCGGGCAGCACGGAGAAGCGGCTTCTTGCAAGTGACACGGGCGCGTTCGTCGATCCATCCACTGCGGTGCCGTACTGGCTGGTCGTGACGCCGACGCGTGTGCACCTTGGCTATGGCCACGTCGTCGCGCGTGCTAGCTTGCTTCTCGCGTGGGCCGCGCCATGTCTCTCGCACGTTTCGTTTGCCACGCTCGGGCAGCCCGCGCTGCTCTCGGGCATTCAAATTCGCGCTTTTGACGAAGAAGACGACGACGGCGGTCTCGCCTCCTCCGTGATCGAGGCAGCGCTCGCGCGACGCAACTGCATTCGACCGCTCGACGACCCCGAGCAACTCTCGGACATGACCTTTTGCTTTCACGACGAGACGCCGTCGAGTTCGAGCTACGAGCGGGAGCATGTGTTCCACCCGTGGGCGCCTGCATCGTCGCGGGTCGGGTTTGCCGAGTGCGCGGCCAAGTTTTCCGCCGACGAGCTCGCGAGCGACGTGCTCTCAACCTCGACGACCCTCCGTGTGCTGTACGCCCGTCGGCTCGGTGTCGGTGTTCTCGCCGCCTGCAAAGACGACATTTCCGTGCTCCTCGACGTCTTTGAGGGGCACGCCGATCTGTTTGTGCCGTTTGTGAGTCTTGTCGCGCACCGGGCGTGGGTCAGCGACTTTGCGACGACGATGACGCGTCCGCCACTCGGAACGACGCGCCTCACGACGCCCGATCTGCTCCAGCCGACGCTGCGTGCGCTGTGCGCGACCGCGAATCCGCTCCGATTGGCGATCACGACGTTTCTCACGACGCAAATGGATCGCTTTCTGCGGGACGGACACCAAGGGACGCTTTCGTGGCGCCGCGCGCACAGCGACAAGCTCGACGCGTACTTTCGCAACGACGCCGACTTGCGCTTCCTCGGGCTGCTCACGTCCTGGCTCCTCGAGAGCGACGACGCCATCGCGCTCACGCCGTCGAGCGTTGCCTACGATCTCTACTTTATCTGGGTCAAGGCGCTCCAGTCGAGTCATCTCGAAGTGCAGCAAAAGGCGCTCCAAGTCCTTTGCCGCATGCTCTTGCGCGCGCTCAACGACAACACCGTGTCCAACGACGTGCTCATCGCGCTTCGGCGGTCGCTCTCGGTGACATACCTCGAAGAGAACGCTCGTCGGCTCTTGGCGTTTGAAGACGAAGTGTACCCGCTCTACTCGCGCTACTTTCAGGCACACGTGGAGCTTCTCTCGGTGCTACAGCGGTTCCCGGCGCCAGTGACGCCGCCGATGCGGTACGCGCTGCGGTTCAAAGGCGGCTGCGCCTACGTGGGGCTCGCGACCGACGACCTCTTGCCGCCGTGGACGGCGCAGTACTGTCTCTCGCCCGAGCGTGGCGGCGCCAAGGCGATTCTCGCGTCGTCGGCCAACGGCTGCATTGCGCTGCGCTCGGCAGAGCATGCAGGCGTGAGTGTCGTGAGCTACCGTGAGCCAAGCTCGACGACATTGTTCGAGACCACCGTGCCGTACGATTGCTGGTCGGTGCTTTGCCTCGTCGCGTCGCCGACCCAAGTGACGCTCTATCTCAACGGCGTCCGCGTGGCCTCGCAGCCATTGGCTGGGTTTGCGCTCCCGATGCAGTTTATTGGCCACGACATGTATGGCGTCCGCGGCCGCGTCGCCAACGTCCGGTACTTTAACGCAGCGCTTGACGACGCCAACGTTGCTGCACTCTCGGCCCTCGACCTGCACCAGTGCTGCAGCGAAGAACACGATGTGGTAACCAGTGCCGAGACTATGGACTTGGTCCCGGCGCTGACAATCATCGGGCACTGGCCGCTCCAGGAAGGCGCCGGGACGCACGTCTACGACGTGAGCGAGCACTTGAACGAGAGCGCGATTGTCGGCGCCAGCTGGACCTGTGCGCCGTCGCCAACGCTCGTACCGCCCACGGTGTTGTCGCTGCCGACGTCCAAGGTCGTCTTTACGGGCGCCGGGACGTGGACGCGCGATGCGTGCGCGGCGCTCGGTGGTCCTTGGAGCCAAGCGCGGTCGATGGCCTTTTCCCTCGAGTTGTATGCCACGTCGTCGTCGTCATCGTCATCATCGTCCTATGATGTCATGGGTCGTCTTGTGCTCAACGCCCGCATCACGTGCATTGTGTTTGGCCAAGCGACGGTCGATGGCGAGGTGTCGTTTGCGATGCAGAGCCTTCGCCAAGACATCAAGGAAGCGTATTCGCCGCTCGAGTGGATGGCGCACATGCGCTTCTCAGGCCGGCACCGCGCGGGGCAGCTGCTCGGCGCGTGGACCACGACGATGGCCCAGACCGTCGTCACGTCGCTGCCGTCCGCCATGTCGTTCTTGCCGTCGTGTAGCGACGCGATCGAAGTCTTTGACGGCGGCCGACGGGTGCAGAGTCTCCTTCGGAAGGGCAAGAAGCGCGCGGGCCTCGTCTTTTGCGCGTTTGGTGTCGAGGCCTTGGCCAAGCACTGGCACTCGGCGCCGTCGCCCGATCTCTCGCTCGACCAACAACTGTTTGTACACAACCGCACCGATACGTTCGTCACCGTGCGCGTGCACGGCCTCGTGACGCATGGCAAGGTCTACTACGAGCTCGTGCTGCAGTCCAAGGGCCTCATGCAGCTCGGGTGGGCGAGTCCTGGCTTCCGCCCGGCGTTTACGACCCATGGCGTCGGCGATCACTTTGGCTCGTTTGGCGTCGACGGCAAGCGCCGAAAGAAATGGTGCAACACGGGCCACGCGTACGGGTCCGAGTCGTGGAGCTGGAACACTGGCGACGTCCTCGGCGTCTTATTGGACATGGACGCGCGCGAGATGCGGTTCACGCACAACGGTCTCGACCTCGGGCTCGCGTTTGCGGAAGCCGACTACGCCCAAGTACCATGGAGTGCGGGGTTGTACCCGGCGGGCAGCTTCTCGAGCGGCCAAAGCGCCAAGATCAACGTGGGCCACACGCCGTTCCAGTATGCGCCGCCGGAAGGATTTGTGGCCGTGGCGTCCATGATTGATGTTTCGCATGTCGATGTGTTCAACCACCGCACCAAGCAGTTTGCACCCGTGTGCGCGCATCATCGGGTCACGTCGCGCGTGGCGCCGCCACCGCCGTCTCTCTCCCGCGGGTCGATCCACTGGGAGGTCGAGATCATGACGCTGCAAGCCACGGACGGTCTCCGCGTCGGGATCGCGACGCCGAGCGCCGACCCGAACGGTCTTCTCGGCGGCGACGCCTACGGCTGGGGCGTTTGCGCGACCGGCAAGACGTACCACGGCGGCCACAGCCAGCGACTCGCAACAGTAGGGTTTGCACAAGGCGACGTGGTCGGCCTCGAGCTCAACATGGACCTCGGGACGCTGGTCGTGTATCGTAACGGGCTTCTCCTCGGCACGGCCTTTTCGAATCTCCACTTGTCGCTGCCGATGCAGTGCTTTGTCCACGGCACCAACGGATTTGTGCCGTGCGTGAGCCTGTATCGACCGCAGACGAGCGTCTTTGTGCGTGGCCTCAAGCACGGCCGCGGCGAACTCCGGTACCCGCCGAGCCACAGCCACGAGCGCTTTACGGGGCACTGGGAGCACGGGCGTCGACACGGCCTCGGACAGCTCACGTTGCGCGGCGAGAAGGAGGGGTACTACCTCGGACACTGGGACGCCAACCACCTCGAGGGCATTCCGGCGTTTGTGGCGCCGGTTCCGCTCTGCGTCTCGACACTCTACCCGTCCGTGTGGAAGACGCTGCGTTTCCAGCGCGCGGCCGACCATCCGACCCAAACGACCCGCACCCAGCGCTTTCGCAAGGGCAAAGTCGTGCCCGAGGCGGTCACGGACGCCGACGTGGTCGCGGAACCGCTCCCGAGCGCGTTGCCGCCGATCAATCTCCAAGCCGCCGCGACGGCTCCGTGGTATCCGGCGGTGCCATCGACCTTGGGCTACGTCACGCCGACCACCGACGCCGTGCAAACGATCACGCAGGACGTCGAGCTGCGCGGTGTCTGGGAAGCGCATTGCGAGCAAGCGTTTACGCTCGTACCGCCGCCGACCGCCTACGACATGATCGCCATGAGTCCCGACCTCATGGGCGTCCGGCTCGAGGCCCACGCGAGCACGGGCACGCATCTCTTGGTCCGCGGCAACACGGCGTACACGTCGGGCGTGCACTATTGGGAAGTGACCATCGAGGCGTGCAACCACGGCAGCGTCTTCCTCGGCGTCGCGGCGCCGAGCGTCTTGTCGCCACCGGACGGCTGGGGCGACTATGGTTTCGTGAGCTACCGCGTCAAGTGGAGCCAGGCCGAAGGCGAACAGCTCTACGGTCGGTACTTCTCGGCCGGCGACAGTATCGGTATCCGTCTCGATATGGACAAGGGCACGCTGGCCTTCTTGAAGGACGGCGACGACTTTGTGCGTGGCCGACCGGCCGTGATTGACATGGGCGTCGCCTTTCGCTTCCTCAAGTCGCAAGCCGGACGAAAAGCCTGTGCGTTTGGTCCGGTGTTTGGCCTCTCGTATCCTGGTGACGCGCTCTCCGTGCGCCGCACCAAGGGCCTGCATTGGCCGACACCGCGCCTGCACGACCGCTTGCATCACGCGCTGGAGGCGGCAAGTCTCGTCCAAACCATGGCATCGACCCAGCGGCTCGACGCGGCGGTGTGGGCGCGCGCGCAGGCGATGCATATGTCGATGACGTCGACGGGGTATTTCCAGCCGCGGGTCTTCCTCACACGCGCGGGGACGCCGCTGCGCGTGTCGGCGGCCATGCGCGACGCGGCGTTGGTGACGACGCGCGGTCAAGCGACGCTCAGCACGCGGTATGGCACGGCGCAGATCCTCGGGCAACGCGACGACCGCGTGTGGTTTCTTATCGAGGGCGAAGAAGGCGCGGGTGCGTGGTACTGGCGGCTGCCGGAAGTGCTTGCGCTTTTGGACCAAGCGCCCATGGAAGAAGAGGCCGCGTGGAGCTGCGAAGCGTGTACGATGCTCAACGACCCGAACCTCTCCAAGTGCCAAATCTGCGAAACGCCACGGACGACGACCGTCCCCGACGACGTGCCGCCGCCCAGCGACGCCGACGTGGAAGCGACGACCGATCCCTTTGTTCTCGTACGCGTTCATTCCTCATTGGATTCGTACGACCGACGGTGATGTGTAGCTTTCGACGGCACCGGACCCGCTCTGGCCGCTCGCTACGCCAGTCGCGCCGCTCACTCCAGATTTTGAAGCGCTCGTCGATAGCTCGAGCAACTGGACACGGCAGCACGACGTGATGCTGGTCGCGCATGTCGATGCCCTCGTACGTCGCTGCTCTCTTGGACTTGAGGTGATGGTCTTCTTTTCTAGTGCGACGTGCAAGCCACGGAGCCCGAGAACCTGGCGTGGGCCGATGTCTGGGAGCACGTGCGTGGTTCGTTGAGTGGGTTTGACGCGTCCTTGGTCGCGGCGCGGTTGGCATGCCTCCTCGTCCTGAACGGCACGGTCGCCCAGCTGCTGCCGTTTGTCGACTTGCACGGAAACGATTTGTTTGCGCTGCCGACGGCGGCCACGGCGGCAGCGCTCGCGACGCTCCGCGATCTGCTCTTTAAGCGCATCAAGATTGCGTTTTGGCGCGACCTGCTCGCGATCACAACCACGCACACGACGCCGCCGTCCGACGAGTACGACCGACCCGACGGTCTGCGCGAAGTGAGTCTGAACCGGATCCAAGCGCTCGAGCCGCACGGGGCCTACGACAAGACGATTTTCGGTCAGCTCGCGACGGCCATGACCAACTGGGACGCATCGTCGCTGCGGCGCGCGTACACGGACGAGCTCCAGGACGCAGGGCAGCCCCGTGCGTTTTACGTCAAGTGCCTCGGCGAAGGCGTCGACGACCACGGCGGGCCGTACAGAGCCGTCTTTCAAACAGCGGGCTGGGAAGAGCCAATTGGGCCCGTGTTGCGGTATGTCCTCGCCACGCCGTCTTGGTGCTATGTCATGACGATCGGTATGTAGACTCTTGGAGCCGTGCCCGAATGCAGTCCAGGCGTCGGGTGCCAATCAAGATAAGTACGTCGTGTCGCCCAGTGCATCACCGTCGCACCTCAAGTTTCTCGGGCGACTGCTGGGGCTTGCGATGCGGCACCGCATTCTCATTCCGCTCAACTGCTCGGAGCTCTTTTGGAAGCCGCTCGTAAGCTTGGCGCTTGACCGAAAGGACTGGAGTGGCGTCGACACGATGGTCGTCCGTGAGCTCCATGACCTCGAACGCCTCAGCGACGAAGAGGTCGCCGGTCTCGAGACGCATGAGATCATTGACCACTTGCTACGCGTGGTACAACCGTGTCCTTGGAGAAAGTACACGTAGCCCTTGTGATGATGTAGGCACAAGCCCCATTGGTCGCGCGGGACGATACACCGCTCACGAGTGCGACCTTGATCGAGATGGTCGACGCGTGCGTGGCCCACCGATTGGCGGCGCAGACGGCGCAGCTGCGACCGCTCATGGAAGGGCTCGCGACCGTTGTGCCGCACGCGGCTCTGAGCCTCTTTACGCCGACGCAGCTCGAGGAGCTTGTGTGTGGGTCGCCCGAGATCGACGTCGAGCTGCTGCAGCGCATCACCGTCTACGATGGTACGCTCGTCACTTCGCGAGCGGGTGGGACATGAATGGGGTTAGGGGTCGATCCGAACGATGCGCACATTCAATTTTTCTGGCAGTGCCTCACCGACATGAACCACGAGCAGCGCAGCAGCTTTGTCAACTTTGTACTGGCGCGGTCGCGTCTGCCACGGTACTTAGGCTTTTTGGATTGTGGATTGTGGCTCTTGGATGTGAGAATTTACGTTTCATGCTAGGTCGTTGGAAGAGTTTACGTTGCATTTCAAGATCCAGGCCGCGGTCGTGGCCGAACACGCCAACGTACGCACTTCTGCGTTCTGTGGTGGTGGTGACGCTCATGATGTTGTAGCCCGACATGTACCTGCCGCACTCGCAGACGTGCTTTTTCTCGCTGAGTCTGGTACGAGACCGAGATGTGCGTGGATCAGGGTCGTGATGGATGATGGATGACGTAGCCGCGGTACAGCTCCAAGGCCATTTGTATGGAGAAGCTGCTGTACGCCATCAGCCATTCGCCGACGATGGACGCCGATTTCATCGACCGCGCGACGACGGGCTGGGAGCACGTGGCGACGTGAGTGCTCGAGTCCATGCTGCCTACTATATACATGTATATATCGATGTACATTTGTCATATCCCTCCGAGGCGATAGAGAGGCATCCACCTCATGCGCACTATTGATGAGATGGTTTGGTCTGTGGGCTAGGGCTGCTTGTGGGGTTAGGGCTGTCGAGACCTCCAGCTTGTATTCATTTATGGCATGGTAAGCGAGGCCCATCTCTTGAAGGCGATTAAAGAGGAGGAGCAACCCTTGGATACAGGAGACTATTGTATCCAAGCTCCTGCGCAACCGACGTCCTTGGACGCCGAGTGCAAAGACGTGCTTCGGGCGCAATGATCTCGTGATGACTGCAACCGGATTCTAATACAGCGGTTAAAATCGGTTGCAACCGGTGGCTATACCTGGATCGGATCTAGCCGAGTCGTCCGGTTGGATCCAAAGGTGGCATATGCCACGAAATTGCAGGGTGGTGGTAATTGTGGCGCGTGCCAAAATTAGGCAGACCATTGAATTGGAAGCAGCGGCCAGCATGAGCAGCGACGACGAAGCGCCGATGCCGATGCCGATGCCGGCGCCCAAGCGCCGCCGCGTCATGGAAAAGGCCACGGAGGCGAACTTGCTCGAGCACCTTCCGAGCGCGCAGATGTACGAGAAGAGCTACATGCACCGCGACGTGGTCACGCACGTGGCCTTCTCGGACGCGACGCAGTTCCTCGTGACGGCCTCCAGCGATGGGCACGTCAAGTTTTGGCGCAAGATGGTCACCGGCATCGAGTTCGTCAAGCACTACAAGGCCCACCTCAAGGCCATCCACGGCCTCGCGATCTCGCCCGACGGGCTCCGGCTCGCGACGACGTCGGCCGATGGCACGATCAAGTTCTTTGACATCCTCGGCTTTGACATGGTGCACATGCTCACGCTCGACTACATCCCCGGTGCGTGCTGCTGGGCCTTCCCGAAAGGCCAAGTCGTGCCCAAGATCGTCGTCGCCGAGGTCGACGCGCCGACGCTCCGGGTCTACCACGCCGAGCGCCCGTCCGATGCACTCCTGCACACGCTGCCAACGCTGCATTCGGCGCCGGTCACCATTCTCGCGTACAACCCTTTGCACGACTGCATGGTGTCGGGTGACATGAAGGGCATGCTCGAGCTATGGAGCCCGTCGACGTATGCGCTGCCGACGAAAGGCCTCCGCTTCAAGTTCAAGGGCGAGACCGACTTGTACGAGCTCGCGAAACACAAGGCGTTTGCGACAACGATCGACATCGCGGCGAGCGGCGACGACTTTGTCGTGACGGCGTCCGACGGCGTCATTCGCGTCTTCCGCTTCGTCACGGGCAAGCTCCGCCGCAAGTACGACGAGTCGCTCGCCGTCTTTGAAGACGCACAAGCCGACGGCAGCTTGGAGCTCGACGCAATCGACTTTGGCCGGCGCGTCGCGGTCGAGAAGGAAGTCCTCTCGTCGCCGCCGGTCGCCAACTGCATTTTCGACGCGTCCGGCCATTTCTTGCTCTTTCCGACGCTGCTCGGCATCAAGATGGTCAACGTCGAGACCAACAAACTCGTGCGCGTTCTCGGCAAGGTCGAAAACACCGAGCGGTTCATGCGCATCTGCCTCTTCCAGGTAGGCACACCGGTCGGCTTCGCCTCCAACCGTGGGATAAATGATGTAGGGCACGCCCAACGTCAACACGCAATTCCAAAAGCACGCGTCCACGCAGGCGCAAAAGAAGCTCGTCATGAGCGACCCCAAGGCCAAGAACGTGACCGACCCGACGGTCTTTGCGACCGCGTTCAAAAAAGCTCGGTTCTACTGCTTCTCGACGCGCGAGCCCGTCGACGACGACGATGGTGACGAGAGCGGGTACATGACGGCCACAGCTGTGTACATATTGTCTTATGGGACGCGTAGGCGCGATGTGTTCAACGAGAAACCGACGCTGGACGCGTCGCATATCGCGACCGAGACGTCGGCCCAGAAGCTCGGGACGCGCGCTGTCATCCACACGACGCTCGGCGACATCTTCTTGACGCTGTACCCGAACGAAGCGCCGCGAACGGTCGAGAACTTTTGCACGCACGCGCGGAATGGGTATATTCGATACGAGGGGTAGGGTATCCACTGACTGGGTGTAGGTACTATGACAACTGCCTCGTGCACCGCGTGATCAAGAACTTTATGATCCAAACGGGCGACCCGAACGGCGACGGCACGGGCGGCGAGTCGATCTGGGGCGGGTCGTTTGAAGACGAGTTCCACCGCAACCTGCGCCACGACCGGCCGTTTACGCTCTCGATGGCCAACGTACGTGCTTGATACAACCTTGATAGAAACTTGATCGTTGGACCTGTAGGCGGGGCCGCGGACGAACGGGTCGCAGTTCTTCATCACGACCGTGCCGACGCCGTGGCTCGACAACAAGCACACGGTGTTTGGCCGAGTCGAGACGGGCAAGGACACGGTCACGACGATCGAGAACGTGTCGACCGACCGCTTTGACAAGCCTGAAGAAGACATTTACATTGTCAACATTGACATTATGTAAAACAGGTTATCTATATATACCTGCGGAATACGACAATATGTCCTACATACTTTTTTCCACGTTTTGGTGTTTGGATGGAAACGCGAATAGCATCGTTTTTGCGCGGGATTACGTAATCTGCCCACATTGATTACGTCATATCCGCCAGTAAAACACCAGCCAATCAAAACAGCGCATGACACGCCAGTGCGCCGTGTTTTGCGCTCTCTGATTGGACAAAATGATGGTTTTCCCAAGAGCAACGTCAAGGGCTATCCATCAATCCGCCTCAGGAACAGTTAATGGGGCGCGAACTCAAGAAGAAATCAAAGCTGCCACCCGGCACCGTGTACCTCTCCAAGAAGGGGCGCGGGAAGCGCCGTATCAACCATGAGAGCCAGGACGTGTGCTTCGACTGCGGCAAGCCGGGACGCCACACACCGCAGTGTGAATGGAAGCTCAACTCGGGCAAGTACTTGTACGTCGCCGGCGATCGCTCGGCTTGCGCCCATGTCATGTGTAGGAACAAAGGCCGCGACGGCAACGCGTCGCAATTGCAAGAGGCTATTAGTGGAGAAGACGCGCCGCAAGTGCACCCACCGCAAACCCAAGTAGCTAGTGGAGAAGACGTGGCAGAAGTGCACCCGCCACAAGCGCAAGCGGCTCCTCAGGCACGCGTGCCGGGCGCGATACCGCCGTGCGTATTGCTCTCAAGAGAGCCACTTGCGATGTACTCTCTCTTACGTGCTCTCTGTAGAATGGACAAGGATGGCGGATTTCTCACCGACTTTCTCACGCGCTCGTGGGAAGAGCGCGAGGCCACGCTGCCGTCCTTGTACAATCTGCGCCCCAAGACGCCTCTCGACCGCAGCAAGTGGCCAACGTGGAAATATACGCTGCCCGATGCGTCGTTGAGCTTTGGCGCACCTCCTGACCCCGACGCCTTTCTCTTTGGCGGCTGCGACGTGTACGTCTGGTGCCCGTTCACCTTCTTCTCGCACTTCATCGACGTCAACAAGTTGTCGTGCCCGGCGTGCGGCAGCAACGAGATCACGTCCGACGGCTGGTCAAAGAGCTTCTTGCCAATCGTGTCGCTTGGAGGCCAGTGGCCACTGCTTCGCGTGCGTCGGCTGCGCCATCTCAAATGTCCGAGAGCCGCCGAGGGCTATGACTCGACTGGCTTCTCGTCGCTGGACGAGACGCTCGTAGCGTCGTGGTACCCGGCTGTCTTGCTCTCGCTGCTGCCTTTCCGGAAGGATGGCAAGAGCTACGTGTCGCTCGACGCCACGACGTACGCGCGTGAGATGCAGCACATCGCGCCGCACGATGCTGCAAGGGACGTGCTCAGCGCTTTACGCGACATGTGGCTCCAGCGCCGCCAGAAAGCACTCGAGGGCGCACATTATTACATGGGGCAGTACGCCACGCAACGGGTTGCGGGCGCGGATCGAGATGCGCTAGAGGCCTTCCAGTCGACAAGCACGGCCATGACTCGTCCAATCGAGCACCGTGTGGACGAGCCGGTTGATGACGTCCTCAATGAAGAGACGCCCGTCTTCGCTGCGGAATCGTATTCGGTCCCGCGACGCGAGTGGAACGATCCGTCCTCTCGCTCGCCAAAGACGAGAAGAAAAATCCTGCCGTGCCCTCACTGCGGCTACAAGAACCGCCGCCATGACAATGCGAGCGCTGTGTCGTGTGCCCTCTTCCAGTTCTACAAGAAGGGCAACTTTTGCAACAGCTCCGGTGTGCTGGCATACGAGCGAGCGATTGTCGCGTTCCGTTTAACGCATCTCCGTGACGACGCATAACGTACTGCATCCATTTCGTCTTGGAGCATTTTTGGTAGTCTTCACGCGGGGTCGGCGCATCCCAACTGCTGAGCGCCACGGACGCATGTTCGGAGCGGCATGCATGGCCGTGGCGACGCAATAGAATGACAGTGCCATCCTATCGCCAAGGTCCGTACTAGTATTTGAATGCACACTATGTAAAATCTCAATAGAGCAGGCGCCAGCAAACGCCAAGTGGCTTGGAGACTGCCGCCAAGACGAATGAGACGCGATGGAGACGCCACCGCCAACGTCCCCTCGGTCAGCGTGACGCGTCTCCATGCAAATAGTGTCTTGTCGCTTAGTGTTGTTTCTGTCGTGTAGTCAATCCGATCCTGTCCATATTGCACTTGGCGAGGTTGCACTTGGCGAGGTTGCACTTGGCGAGGTTGCACTTGGCTGATCATCATTCTGCCCGGAATGGGCTCCGCCTCCGTTGCTGGTATTTTTATTATTTTGTGTACGTTTATCTTTGTTACATTATGCAGGATAAATTATTGGAAATAAATACGATCTTTTTCGCCCATCGCCCATATTGCTCATATTGCCTTTGGCCAGCAACCAAGCAGCAGCCGACGATGAAGGTCCTGACGACGACGACGACGCTTCTGCTCGCGATTACGACGGCGATGGCCGACGTCTGCCATGACCATGCCACCGAGGCCAGCTGCCTGCAGTTCGACTGCGCGTGGTGCAAGTCGGCGGCAGTCAAGAGCTCGTGCTACGACCCGGACGAAGCGAGCCAGCTACCGCCGTCGATCTTTGAGTGCGCCCGCCCCGCGCCCAATCATGGCTGCCATTTCTTCAACACGGAATCCGCGTGTCGCCAGAGCAAGGAGGGCGGCAAGCCGTGCTACTGGTGCGAGTCGGCGGCCGTCAAGTCGACGTGCTACAACGAGACCGAGGCCAAGCAACTGCCGCCGGCGATCTTTCAGTGCGAACATGGCCGCGCGCCCGTGTTTGCCCATGGCGTGACGAGCCTCGTCGACGTCACAAACGATGCCCAAGGACACGAGACATGGCACGCGTCGGCGGAGGCGGCCACCACCAAAAACGGGGGTCAATGCCACCTCTTCAAGAACGAGGAGGCGTGCACGAATGCACATGCGGCCTGCGCGTGGTGTGCGTCGGCGGCGGTCGCCAGCGCGTGCTACGAAGCCGACGAGGTGAGCAAGCTCCCGCCCGGCGTCTTTGCCTGCAAGACGTCCGAGACGTCGCCGAGCCATGGGTGCCATTTCTTCAACACGGAATCCGCGTGCCGCAAGGGCAAGGAAGGCGACAAGCCGTGCTACTGGTGCAAGTCGGCCGCCGTCGCGTCCACGTGTTACAACGAAGACGAAGCCAAGAAGCTGCCGCCGGCCATCTTTCAATGCGAGTCAGGTGGTCCGACCCACTGGGCGCTGACCTCGGTCCAAATCCGATCTCATAGCTTACGAGGGCTCACGATGCTGCTTTTGTAGGTGCCCACGTCCGAGACAAGTCGCCGCCTGCTCTTTTCGCATTGGAAGGACGCCTTTGACGTCGCGTACGGCCAGCACGAGAACGAGGCAGCGCGCTTCGCCGCCTTTGTCGCCAACGCTGCGCTCGTTGCTACCCACAATGCACGTGGCGATCGTCCATACTCGCTCGCGCTCAACGCCTTTGCCGACTCGACGTGGTATGGCTGCCAACTACTACCATGAGGACAGAAGTCAGTGAAGGACACGTTAGGGCCGAGTTCCAAGCCGACTACCTCGGCGCCACGCCACAAAACTGCTCGGCCACCCATCGCTCCGTGTACGTCGACTTGCAGCATCGTCTCTTGTGACCATGGACATGTAGCGTGACGGCGACGACGGATGTGCCCGCGGCCATCGACTGGCGCCGCGTCGACGCTGTCTCGCCGGTCAAGAACCAAGGCAAGTGCGGGTCGTGCTGGTATGCCACGCTTCCATGGCCCGTTTGGAGGTACGGATGGAGACGTTTTTAGGACCTTTTCGAGCACGGGCTGTCTCGAGAGCCACAACTTGCTCACGCATGGGAAGCGCATCCTCCTCTCGGAACAAAATCTCGTCGACTGCGCCGGTGCCTTCGACAACCACGGCTGCAATGGCGGTCTCCCGTCGCATGCGTTCGAGTACATCAAGTACAATGGCGGCTTGGACACGGGCGCGGTACGTGCTTGAATCCTCGACACTACCGCATTTATGCGGCTGTGCGTAGACCTACCCCTACCACGCCAAGGACGAAACCTGCAAGTTTGACCCGGCCAACGTTGGCGTCCGCGTCCTCGACGTGGTCAATGTTACCTCGCGCGACGAGACGCAGCTGGTAACCCAAGAAGTTTCGAGTCACCGGCCGGTTGATACATTGAAATAATATCGCAGAAAACGGCCGTCGGGACCGTGGGCCCTGTCAGCATCGCGTTTCAAGTGGCGTCCGACTTTCGCTTCTACAAGGACGGCGTGTACGACTCGACCGAGTGCAAGTCGGGCGAAGCCGACGTCAACCATGGTAGTACCGCGTTCTTTTTGTCGATGGCATCCCCTTCTGATTGACGCCATCTCCACAACTATTAGCGGTCTTGGCGGTCGGCTACAACACGACCACGTCTGGTGCACCGTACTGGATTGTGAAAAACAGGTACTCTCAGTTGTCGCGTTGAGATGACCACATTTTTGTATGCTAGTTGGTCGGCGACGTGGGGCATGGACGGCTACTTTCACATTGCCCGCGACAAGAACATGTGCGGCCTCGCCGACTGCGCGTCGTACCCGCTTCTCTAAGCACGTACTGTCTTTTGTCTCGAGCGTAGTAGCCTGTGGTGCAATTCCAATGCTGCATTTGACCCGATCTGGTCCTGTTCCAGAAAAATCTCGCACATGTTGCCCGACCCGGATGCCATCGCATGACATAGAGCAGTAGTGCCAGCCCTCTCGTCGTGCATCTTCATACTTACTATGCATGGTATCCCTTGCCGACAACGGCAACTTGACAGTCCACCCTTCCGGCTTGGCGCCGTTTTGAAGCGGCCGCTTCAAGCAAGGGAATAACTACTAATTTATTCCCTTGGCTTCAAGTCCCACTGCTGTCATGCCGCTTGGGTTGCCATGGAGAGCCAATATCAAGTCGTGGAGGGACAGACAGGCTCGAATCGCCGCCGTCCACTGCGCTGGGTGTCGCCGAGAACTCGGTCGGGTCAGGCGCCATCATGGTGGTGGTCGCGTGCTCATTTTATTGACTTGCGTTGAAGCGACATCTTGCTCTTTGTATGCAAATCGAGCGCGGTGTAAAAATACGCTGGGGCTAGGGATCGGTATTTGACTGGTGCCAATAGTTCAGTTTTTCAAAAATCCGCCGAGCAAAGATGGCATCGACGACCAGCGTCAAGTACCGCCTCGTGGAGGCCGAAGAAGTCGCGCAGACGGCCGGCGAACCGACGTCGCCGACGGCCGCCGCCAACAAGAAGAAGCCCGTCGCTGGTACACGCCTTGCCGTGCTGCCATGGCCGGCGAACTCACCAAACTTGATAGACAAGACGACGGCCGGCCCGCGCCGTGCGCCCAACGGTGGCCGTGGCAAGGGTGGTCGCGGCGGCCGCCGTGAGAACGGCTTTTACGCCAACGGCACGTTCATTGCGTACAACGACACGAAGGCGACGGCCGAGTACGCCAAGCAGCAGATGTAGGCTCATGCTGCCGATGGATGGAGGATGCTCATGGATGCAATGCGATGTAGTGAGTTTTACTTGAGCGCCGACAACCTCGTGCGTGATACGTTCTTGCGCCAGCACATGGACGTCGATGGCTACGTGCCGCTGGCCTTTATCGGCAGCTTCCAGGCCGTCTTTGCCGCGCACCGCGACTACCCGACGCTGCTCGCGGCCATGAAGACGTCGACGACGCTCGAGCTCGACGAGAAGAACGAGAAGATCCGCCCGGTCGTCTGGAAGCAGTGGCTCTGGCCCCAGCCCGACGGCCAGTTTGGCGTCCCGCGCTACATCAAGGTGGACGAAGAGACGCCTGCGACCGAGTAAGCGATCCGACACCGCTCTGCTGGATTTCCACATTTTACAAAGTAATAGATATGCATGTTTGTTTTGGCCTGTTTGTTTTGGCCCGAGCTCAGTGTTGTCAGACCCTTGGACCGTCGTCAAGGAAGCCGACAAGCACCCGCCCTGTACCAACAATGACCTCTCCAGTGGTATTGATTGCGCTGTCACTCAACGCTGAGTAAGCGGCGTGTCGATCGCACTGAGGTCGGCGACTGCCTGTCTCATGGTCACAGTACTGACTCGCTTCGATCGAGAACTCCTCGACGCTTCCGATACCACGTGCCTTGCACACTAGTACGACGAGTACGCAGTAGAGAGTCGACTGGATACAGTGGACAACTTGTCTGTTTTAACTTTCGACACTCGGAACGTAGGTGCTTGCCGAGCGTTTTTCGTACGTCGCTTTGAGCACGACACCGATCCGGTCGCCTCGCTTGCGCGCAATATTACTCTCGACACAGAGGCGCATGGCCGCACTGTACGTGCTCCGAAACGCGTCGCCGACCAAGTGCCACCGGCTCGACCCATCGAGGCGCGTCTCGGTCATGTAGAAAACGTACTCACGCACGTCGGCGTCCATCGCCTCGTCCACAACCTTGGCGCAGGCGAGCGTCCGCGTTCGCTCGGGCTTGGGCACGCCGTTGTAGTAGGCTGCGTTCGCCTGCTTGCCGGCGTCGACGTACGCCGTTTGCCGGCCGACGACCGACCCAAAGAGCGACAAGAGCGTGGCTTGGATCGCCGCATCGCCCGAGAGCACCGTGATGGCTTGCGCGACCGCTTCGAGCGTCGAGACGCAGCCGTCCTTGGGCTCCTTGCGCAGCGTGCCGTACAAACTCGCGCTGTCGCACGCAATCAAGACCCGCGGCAGCGCCTGCAAGCTCGGGCTCATATGCACGATGCGCTTGGCCTCTTTCCACGTGCCGTCGACGACGACGAGCTCGAGGTTGGCGATTGCACGCGGCGAGAGGAGCGTCGCCGTCGGGCCTGGAAAGAGCAGCACGCGCTGACGACGATCGTCGGGCGGCGGCGCCGAGGCCACGTCCGCGACCTCGAGCGTAAAGTTGTCGAGCGCATGGGCGAGCAGCGGCACGCTGGAGAGCGCCTTGCGCTTCGCCTCGTTCGGGTGCTGTACGCAGTGGATGCGGAAGCCCGGCGAGAGGCGCGGCGACGGCAGCAGGTCGCAGTAGCACACGCAGGGCGGGCGGTCGCAGCCGATGCAGACCTCGCGCTGCGCCATGCCGATGGTGGTGGGATGCACTGCTCGAATGGAATCGAGCGCTTGAAATGTGTTCTATTGCTTTTTAACGCGAACCGAATTGAACCGAATCGAACCGAATCGAACCGATGGACTGTCGTCGGAGGTCGTCGTGCTTATGAGGCGCTGGACTTGGGCGTCTCTTTTTTGGTTGCCTCAACGGGCGGCTCGACAAGCGGCTGGGCCAGCGGCGGAACAACATCGACCTTGGGCGCTTCCGTCTTGGGCTCCATCTTGGACTTGAAGTACTCCATGAGCCAGTAGCCTTGCGTGCTCTTGAACTCGCGCGAGATTTCCCGCACCACGTCCTTGACCGAGAGGACGCCGACAATATCGTCCTTGGCGTCGACGACCGGCAAGTGGCGAAAGTTCCTAGAACATTCCTTTTAAAACCACTTGGACTATTGTAGCCTGCACACTGTACTGGATCGCGGCTTCGTGGACACACGTCTCAAGCGTCGCGTCGCTCTTGAGCGTGAAGACCCCCTTCGTGCAGAGGTCTTTGACGAGCACGTCGTGCGCGTTGAGCTTGGGGTGGAGCACCTTGGTCAGGTAGTCGCGCTCAGTAAAGATGCCCTTCACGTGGAGTTCGTCGTCCATGATGAGGACCGCACCAAAGTTGCGGCGGGCCTAGTCAGTCTTCCTCGAAGAGCGTCCATGGGATTGGTGCAATATACCATTTCCCGGACCGCTTCGGCGACCGACACGCTGTCGTCGATGCGCGAGTTGAGGATGAGCTTGATCTTTTCGTGCTTCTTGCGGAGGAGCGAGCCCGCCGTGACTAGGATTCCAGGCAGAGCGTGAGAGGCGAGATGGGAGCGATATGCGTACTCGCGACAGGCGCGGCGTCCGCAGCGGGCTTGGCGTCGGCTGTTGGCAGCGGCACCGCCATCTCGGCGCCTTCGGGCACGAGGCTCGCCTTCTTCTTGGCCGCGTCGTTGGCATACTCCTTGAGAATGTCCTATACAAATGCAATTTCGTGAGGCGATGACGTGGCGATCGCACAGAACAAAGAGACAAGACGCACCTTGATCGAGAGAACACTCCGCATCGCATCGATGGGTACATGGCCCTTGGTGACCTTTTGCTTCATGTCCGTGTGGATGACGGCGAGGTGGCGAATGTTCTCCTTGGTCATCGTCGCAAAGGCTCTAGCAGCAGCATTCGGATGAGACAGCATCCATGTCCAGGATGAGAAGAACGCGTACTCCATGACGGTCGTCGACGGGTCAATGCACAAAATGTGGTTCGACATGATGTCCTGCACAATGTGCGACTCGTCGTCGTCGTCGTGCGGCGCCATCTTCTTCATCACATCGCGCTCCGTGACGATGCCCACGATGCCATGGCCCTCTAGTACCATCATAGCCGCGTCCATGAGCACAACGACGTGTGTGCATAGACGCGTCGTCGTCGGATACCTTGCGTCACAATGAGCGAGCCAATGTTGCGCTGCACCATCAGATCGACCGCACTGTGGACAGGCGCCTACATGCGCATGTGCTGAGGCCAGGTCGATGCAGTCGCACGCCTACGTCGTGCTGGATTGACTGCCACCGGTCAAAGTACGGGTGGATCTCGCCGGCAGATGCAGAGTCGAGGTTGGCAAAGACCTTCTCGCGCTCAGCGAGGACGTCGCCGATCGTGAGCGTCGTCGGCGTCGGCGCCGCGCTGCAGAAGCGTCGGGCGCGCAGGCCATGGCGGCGGAGGAGCATCAGCATCTTCGTTCTTGTCTTGGTCGTGGAAATGGGATTGTGGTCGCCTTCCGCAAGGTTCCGGATACGTGCGACGGCCGTGGGAAAGGGATTTTCACACGTGTGCTATTTCACACCACCTCGATATCCCACATCTGTTATCCGGAGGTTTTGTATCCGGAGGCCAGTGGATAGACGCCACGAGGCGACCGACAAGCAAGCGATGCGATCGATGCTCGTCGCCGTCGTCGCGGTCCTCTCAACGCTGACGTCGGCGCTTGTCGTCCAAGAGTACGCACGATCATGCGCGTGGCCGGACGCTCATGCTGCATGCGTGTAGGCCATGCTGTGCGACGCTACGCCACATGTACGTGATCTCCGCGCAGCCTCCTCGTTGCTCATACCTTGTTCATGCAGCCACGCCCGGTTTGGCCGACGCGTCGGCAACGCAGACGAGTACAGCGGCCTCGAGCTCGTGGCAGGTACGATCGATCGACGTGCCCCGTCTGCCTCTTTGGATGCAAGGACGACGTGGCATTCTAGCGCGGCCACTCGACGGGTGCCGGCCGCTGCGGCAGGACCTCACGGGTAAAGTCGCGTTGGTGCAGCGAGGCGGCTGCAACTTTGCGTTCAAGATTCTGCAAGCGCAGCGCGCGCACGCCAAAGCCGTCATCGTCATGGACAACTACCCTCGCCCGCGCAACGAGTCGGCTCCCATCGCCAACCCGTCGTCTCACGACGACAACTGGTAGGTCGTGGGCGATTCGCATGGTGCCCGACAACGGCAACTCGACCAGCGTCGTTGTGCCAAGTGTCTTTGTCTCGCACGAGACCGGCGACCGCCTCTTGAGCACGCTGCAGCTCATGCGCGAGTACGGCGGCGTCGTCCGCGTCGCGCTCAACCGCACCGGCGAAAGTACGTTGACGCCATGGTAGCTTGCTATAGGTTGAGGAATTTCTTATCTTGCTAGTCTTGCCGCTCGCGACAGCCCCCGCGATCCAGTACCAAGAAAGCCTCGAGACCATGGCGCTCTACCTCGTCCTTGCGTGCGTCGCCGTGCCGTCTCGCCACCTCACATCGCCGTCCGTGTAGGCTGGTCGGGATCGCCGTCGTCCATTGGCTGCAGCGCACGTAGCTAGTAGCATAGAACCTCGCGTGGCATGGACACCAAAAGCTCGTATTTACTCGGCCGCGTTGTTCTCACTGCATCCACGCAACGGGTAGCGCGAGTTGTCGACAGGCAGAAGCACAGTCTCGAAGCCGCAAGGAGGGCACTTGGTCTAAACAAAGCACCTTGGCTCGTGCGATGACTGCATGCACACTGAGGAATTTTGTGGTCGTGTCAAGGAGCAGCCCTTCTTGCGCTGTGCTGGCATCGCAGCCCAAGCCCATTTCAGCGCTCGCTGTTGGCCACCGACCATCGCGAACCAACAGTCGACCGACCGACTGGCGCCTCGCGCGTTGATACAAGAAGTATATGGGAAAGGGCGTCCGTTCTCTGTTCGGTTGATGGCAACGGTCACTTGCGTGCCTTGGAAGAACACCATGGTCAAGAACGAAGCCGAGATGAACTGGGATGCGCTCCGGGAGCACTACTCGCTCCAGCCGTTGCATCTCAAACACGCTTCCGAGTGCACCGCGCTGCAGCTCAAACAAGAGGGCGAGTGGGCCGCGATCCAGCAGAAACACGCACTGCACGAAGAAACCACCGAGCCATCGACGCCGCCGTCGCCGAGCGCGACGACCCGCCACGCGTTTGAAGCCGCCGCGAATGCCAAGCTGTGGGAGTTCAAAACCAAGGCCCTCGCACAGCAACACGCACACGAGCTCGCGGCACTTGGCGAAAAGCAGGCCTTTGCGACACTGGCGCTGGCCGAGAAGGAAGCGTTCGAGACGGCGGCGCTCGCTGAAAAGCACACGCGCGAACGTTCGGGCAGCGGCGCGCCGGTCAATGGCGCGCGGCAGCTGCAGCGGAGCCAAGAAGTGGAGGCACTCCGGAAGCAGCAGTTGGACGAGCGCCTGGCGCTCGAGCTGCGTCAAAAGACCGAGCTGGAGGCCGCGACCGAAGCCGTCTGGATCGAACACGCCGTCGAAGACTTTCTATGCAAGGACGCGGCCATGTAGCCTTGTCGATTTGCGTGCTGAACGATCAAAAGTGGCATTGGAATGCACGACATGTTGTCTCTTTTACATGCCGTTGAGCAGACGGTTGGCGGCCGCCTCGACGTTGTTGTCGGCCGCACGCAGCGCCGCGATCGCTTGGTCCCGTTCAAACCCGAGCGCCTAGGTCAGGATACGGTACGCATGAAGACGACTTGACAAAATTGGGATAAAAACGAAACAAATACCGTGAGCGTCGCGATGGCCGCATCAGACGGCGGCGCCTAGCATCCGCATGACATAGGGCGATACGGAGGATCGAAGCGTGTACCGCAACCGGCATCGGCATGCCACCGCCCATGCCCGGCAAGAGCTGGTCACGGAACCCTTGCCCGTTCGGCTACACACAAGTGAGCCGAGGACCTCCCATGGTTTGCGTCGTATGTACAGCGGGGGCGTGGCCGTGACGGCGCTGTGCTTCTTGGAGCTGGCGCTGGCGCTGCTGCGCAGCCACACTCATGGGCACGACGGCAAAGATCGCATCGAAGAGCTGAGTCGCGCATGAGAGACGCAAAGCTACGGGCTTGGTGTACCTCGAAAAACCACACGAGAAAGCTCGGGAGACGAAACTTGGAGAGCGGCGTCGTCTGGTACAAGGCGCCGACAAGCACGCCAGTGCCAAACGGAAGCGCCGAGTCGAGGCCGCGCAAGCACACCTAGGATCGCTCGAGTCTTCAATCATCGCGCATGGACGTACCAAGATCATCATAAAGTACGTCGATGCTTTCTCCGAGAGGTGAAGACCCATCGCGCTAAAGAGCTCGGGCTGCAGCTTGGGCACATTGCCTACTCGATCGAGGACGAGGATCATGCGGCATGACCGACGTCAACATGGTGTCGTACCGTAGAAGACGACCATGAGCGCGCCAATGAACGCATACGGGCCGCTCGCGATCGATGGCAGCACCTTGGCCTTCAAGCACGCAGCTTGCAGTAGCGTCGAGAGGAGGAGCACGAGAACGACAAAGCTGCCAAACTTCTTGGAGCCAAACTAGAGAGCGACAACGTGATTGAGACGAGCATGGATGAGCAACGCGTCTACCTGGCGCTCGATGAGGCGGCAGTGAAAGATGAGGTAGATGCCAAAGGCCACCGACATGCCACTACGCAGCATGGGCATGTGCATGATGATCCAAGGAAGATGCACCTCTGGAAGCCAAAGTGGCACGTGAGGAGCCGCCAGTACTGGCCGTAGCGGGTCACCATCGTGAGATCTACGCAGCAAGTCTGAGCCCACGCGGGCCAACGAGGCTGTTGTCGCACCGAGTGGCAGGTCATGGGCGCGGTCGAGGAAGAGCGCGGCCCCGGACGCAAGGCCCGTGCCGCACAGGTACGCATAGGTCACGGGCGTCTTGTCTACCACATAAGCATAGCGCATGAGCCATCACCTCCATGCAGGCGCGTCGTCTTGGTCGTACAGAGGCCGCCGAGGTCGGGGTGCATGCTTCGATGATCTTCCCGATAACAAGCCACAAGTCGCGTCCACGTCGACTTCAATCGAACGCCGACTACAGGTTTCGACTAACTACGTCGTTCCGGATACTTATCCGGAAAAAAATTGCCCACAGCAACTGGGTGCACACAAGATATACGATGCGGCACCCACCGGTCGCAGTTGAGAATTGCACTCCGCATGCGGCGCGCGCGAGCTCAGAGCCATCTCTCTGCGGCACCAGAACGCCGCGGCGCCCGCCGAGTTGTCCAATTTGCCTCGACGACTTATTGTCGCAGTCGGTCTTTACAGCCGAGTGCGGCCACGCCTTTCACTTTGCCTGCCTCCTCGAAAACATCAACCACGATTTGGCCAATGCGACCAAGTGCCCCGTTTGCCGCAAGGTGCAAGCGCAGTGGCCCTTGCCCACACGCGGGCTCGCCAACGCCCACCCGTTCTGCACCCACTGCGGCACGCGAGGGGTCGGCGATCCGTGGTGCCATCACTGCGGGTACTCGCTCGCCGACACACCTCGGGCGCGGGCGCGAAGCCAACCATGGGAGCCGGACGACGTCGCGCTGCAGTGCTACATGTGCCACGTACACTTTCTCGTGAGTACGCGCGCTCGAGGTCGCGTGGAGTGCCCCAACGGACACGTCTTTGCCCTCGTGGCGCCCGTAGTTCCAAGTACTAGTACGAGTAGCACGGCGGAGAGTCGCCCCCGCGCCACGTCGGCTGCCACCGTGCACTGCACCATGTGCCGCACCGACGTCAAGATTCCACCCGGGAGTCCGGCGGGGCAGTACGCTTGTCCACGCCAGCACGCCTTTTACTACAAGCCACAAGGCCGCGAGTAGCCCACGCTGCAGCGGTACGGCACCGCCACTACATAATTATATAGCACTGCACGTATTGACTGCTCTTGGAATCGGTTGCCCGAGTTTAAGGGTCGAGGTTCGAGGTTCGATCCCGCACAAAAATCGCAGTATTTTGCTCGTGTGCACCATGAGCAGCGTGGTCCAAGGACCCTACCTTGGTGGTAGTAGCCTGCGTGTGTATGCGCTGGCAAGGCGCGGTAAAACCACTGCGATATCATTCATTCGGGCACGACCGCTGTCCGCGCTAATTTGTACAGGTACAGAACGCCATCGGATGAGAAGAGGCGGCAAGAATTCGTTCGGGCAGTGCGGCCTTGCACACACTGCGACGACGTTGAGGTTGGTAGGAGTGCCTGCTACGTAATGCTGCGACGCACCCACGGCTGCATCGGCGCAGATTTTTGGCGGCAACTGATCGCGTCGGACTGGCAGGCCTCATGAATCGTAGACGTCTCGTTCGGCAAGCAGCACCTTGAACGGTGCAAGGACATGGAAGGACAAGGACCTATTACTGTAGCACGGTTGTTAATGGAGCTGGACCTTGTCCAGACTTGACGTGTCCAACAGCGTGTACGAATTCGTCGCGTAATTCCTAGTCGGAAATCGACTCGACGAAAACGACTACGCTCGACTCTTTTAAAACTACCTTGCATGTTGTATGTACTTTTCAAAATATAAAAGGCGGTCGGAAGGTACACCGAGATTGCCGTTTTGAGACCATGGCAGCACGGCTCGTCCGCTCGCACAGCGACTTTGACCTCCGCGAGGCTGCGCCGTTCCTGGTCAAGGTGGCGACCGAGGCCAAGGCCGCGGCGACGCCCCAAGAGACGACCCACAAGGTGACGCTGCTCATGGACCAGGAGGAGTGCCCCATCTGCCTCGACGAGTTCGAGTCCCTTGGGCAGTCCATCTTTACGGGCGAGTGCGGCCACAAGTTTCACTTTACCTGCCTTCTCGAGAACGTCAACCACGACGAGGCGAACGCGACCAAGTGCCCCATCTGCCGCAAGGTGCAGACGCAGTGGCCCGAGCCGACGGCCGGTCTCGCCAAAGCGCACCCGTGCTGCACCAACTGCGGCAAGCGCGGCACGGGCGGCAACGCCTGTGAAGGCTGCGG